ACTCGAGATAAATGGCAGGAAGTGAAGGGACAAAGGCGAGATTAAACCATTACCAAAGACTTAAATTTAATAAAGATTTTACTGCAGCCAAAATGTGCTTTTATGTCTACGCATGCGCAATTGCGTTTCAAATCATGGCCACCTCAAAGGCGCTAAAATGCCTCGCGCTTCATGGGATGTACGGACCGACACGACTCATAACGATCGTACTTGATTGACTGCAATTTATCTATACCACGCTTGCAATATACGCGGTCTGCATGCTTGTTGTCGATTTCACTCGACCAGATGCCACAGGACTTCATGCCTGAATGTTCTTATATAGTGACTTTATGGCTTCGAACTATCGTTGTACATCATAAAGGTGGTCAGCGTCCAAGTGCACTTGTCAATCAATCTGACACGCATTCTATGACAGTTCAGTAAAAAGTTGGAAATTTGGTTTGCACACATGAACTCTTGAACTCTTAATCTTGTAAGTAAATAATCGCCTTGGAAACAAATGTGTTGATTTACTATACATAACGTTTATGCAAAGATTGGCTGCATTTTTACTTTCTACTTCACCAATAAAGGCACGAATTTATGGATGTCAGCTTCGGAGTATATTCTATCTGCATCATCAGGTAATTTCGGAGTATATTCTATCTGCATCATCAGGTAATTTCGGAGTATATTCTATCTGCATCATCAGGTAATTTCGGAATATATTCTTACTCCTTCATCGGGTAATTTCGGAGCATATTCTTACTCCGACAAACGTCGTGTCCATCAAAATAAAAAAGTTGACATCCATAAATTCTTGCCTTATGTGTATCACCTCTAAATGCCGTTCCGAGACACTACTTCATCAATGTTTACTTTTTTCATCACAACATTATTTTTTCACCACAACATTATTCATTAAGCGCTCTGAACAGATAATTCCTTTGATCGAGCTGTGAGCAAGTTGTGCCTCCGATATTTGTAGCTTGACTTGTATCTGGTATGTTCTGCATGGACGTGATGAACGGGCGCATCAGTTTATGTAGATTCAGGGATTAAGAAGATTTGAAGATTTCAGTTCAAAATATGGGCCTTCTAATTTAATTCTGAAACAGCACGTACAACCATATGCTAAATATGGTTGTTTTCGGTGTGAGTGACATCAGTGGCATATTAATCTAGGTCATGGTTCTCTGCCCCTGTTTCGACAATGTATTGTGATATAGTGAGTGAGTTTAGTTTTACGCCGCACTCAGAAGTATTCCAGCTATATGGCAGCGGTCTGTAAATAATCGAGTCTGGACCAGGCAATCCAGTGATCAACAGCATGAGTGAGTGAGTTTAGTTTTACGCCGCTTTTAGCAATATTCCAGCAATATCACGGCGGAGGACACCAGAAATGGGCTTCACATATTGTAGCCATGTGGGAATCGAACCCGGGTTTTCGGCGTGACGAGCGAACGTTTTAACTACTAGGCTACCCCACCGCCCCTCAACAGCATGAGCATCGATCTACGCAATTGGGATATGATGACATGTGTCAACGAAGTCTGCGAGCCTGACCACCCTATCATGTTATTCGCGTCTTACGTGTTTTGATATACTTACACAGGTGAGTGTGTACGACACCAGCTTAGATAATGGTACCGATGGGTCATTATCTCGTATTTGGCATCGGAATAGAAGAATCGACGCCACATTGTGCAGTGATTGGTGGAGTGAGTGAGTGAGTGAGTTTAGTTTTACGCCTCACTCAGCAATATTCCAGCTTTATGGAGGCGGTCTGTAAATAATCGAGTCTGGACCAGACAATCCAGTGATCAACAGCATGAGCATCGATCTGCGCAATTGGGAACCGATGACATGTGTCAACCAAATCAGTGAGCGTGACCACCCGATCCCGTTAGTTGCATCTGACGACAAGCATGGGTTACTGAAGATCAATATTCTAACCCGGACCTTCATGGGTAGTGATTGGTGGACGTCACGTAGGAACATGGAAATTGCTACTGCATTAGGTAGGGCTTGAGTGAGTGAGTGAGTTGTGTTTAACGCCGCATAAGGTCAGTCACATCACGGTGTGTAAGCTTTCACTGGAAGAAATCGCAAAGCTTTGCAGGTCTTTGATGTTGGGCACATTGGCGAAACCTAGCCCATGCATGGTGCTGAAAACACTAGAAACGGTATGGGATTCTGGGATTCGAACCTACTGTCATAGGTCGAGGGCAGGTTAAAGGGACATAACTCCGCAAGCTAATTGCGGTGCCTTAGACGATGAGTCATCCGTAGCATTGTACATCATTTGATGCTAAATTGGAGTGATGTATTAACTCCAAATTGCAGTATTTCACCTATATTATGATGGAGAAGGTGACATATTCAGAGACTGAGCGTTTGTCCAAACAATACCTAATTCCAGATCTGATGCAATCTAGGAGTTCCACATCAGTTTAGCCTTGAGGTCCTTGCTGGATCTGACGTGACCCTAGTCTGTCTTCCTGTCTCATAGTTGCTAGTTTTCCTACTGCCAAGCCCTCCCTGCAATGCTAAAGCCCTAAAGGAAGCAAGTCTAGATTTCATCAGGTTCAATCTCCCATCTTGCTGGGGCTCCTTTTCAATTTAAACGGAATTATTTATTTCTATCAAGTGTAAGTCTCGATCTGGGTCAGTCCAGTTTTACCAAATCATTTTAGACTTGAACTGGGCTCCTTCGTCAATGTCAGTGTCCCTGGAGGGAAACATGTTATAACATGAGTGAGTTTAGTTTTACGCCGCTATTAGCAATATTCCAGCAATATCACGGCAGGGGATACTGGAAATGGGCGTCACACATTGTACCCATGTGGGGAATCGAACCCGGGTCTTCGGCGAGACGAGCGAACGCTTTAACCACTCGGCTACCCCACCGCCCGTTATAACATGAACCCTCTGTTTCCAAACCATGGATTTCCTCCTCATTGTCTCTAGACTAACGTTTAGTGTCGAATATATATAATTTTGATTAACAAGCGAACCCATCCAAATTGACAAGAAGCCTCCTTGAGACCAGAGATTCAGAACCTGAGGAAATCTAGACCTGCTTCATTTAGGGCTTTAGCATTGCAGAGAGGGCTTGGCAGTAGACAGAAGGGAAAATAATGTGGTTCCGGGACTGTGAGACAGTCTACATTGGCCCATGAAGACCTATTCATATGAACTCAGTGTTTATATCACCGACTGCAGCTATTCACACAGTCGTTCCCGTATTCACCATATCATGTTACATCTCCTGAGACGAAACAGACCTCGGAAGTAAAATAATTGCAAATAGCCAGCTGCCCGTCGATGCTGACACGTTTATGCTTTCTTCATCCCAGTTGCCATTTGCATGTCTTTACCACACTTAGAAAGCTTCATATCTTAAATCTAAACGCATCTATCAAAATAACTGTCGACAAAGTAACACCCTCATCCGCATGACGTGTTTGAGAATCACGAAAAGCTGCCGCTAACGCGATGTTCTGTCTCTGTTAACATGCTACAAGTATGGAAACCTGGCATTAAAAACGTTTCAAACAGATCCTTCCCTTGTGCTCTACACAAACGGTTGTCGCTTGTGAGATATTATACAAATCCCTAAATTGTAAATTTCATTTTCAATATATAGTTTTTTTCTCTCTGGAGTTTGTTCCGTGCAAAACATGCTTAAACGTCGGAGATGCAATCAAATAGTTATAGTTCCACGGCGGATGAATTGATTGCAGTGACAAGTGAGATCGTTTGATATCCTTCCGCTGCATTTTGGATCAAAGTAGATCCTGTCCACCACGCAACACTGAACAAGAGATAGTCATTGAGATAAAAGATAAAGTGATAAAAAGGCTTAAAACTCAATTGCAAAAAGTGATGTCACGGTTGAGCTGTTCGTTGTGCACCTTCTTGTGGATGTATATATTCCAAACTAGAATGAATCTAGGGGGTGTCGGACAGGTTAAAAAATCATTGCTTCTCGAGACATATGGTAAACAAGCATTACCCCCGTTGTTTGTCTGTTTAATATTTCCAATATGTCTGCGCCGTCTCGTCTTTCTCACAGTCATACTTTGTAGGTTTGCTAATTTTGACAACTAATGGATATTTCAGTGTTAAATTTCAAAGATCAATCGCCTACAGGTGGGCGTGTGTGCGTAACACGTATGTTCATTTGTATGAGACTATAGATCATAAAAGATGGGGTGGGAGGTAGGGGTGGGTGGGGATGGGATGTGTGGAGGATCGGTGGAATAACTCTCCTGGCACATTAAGTCCAAGATAATCGCTCAATCCACGTGTCTGTCACAGTGAATTTTACAGTGTACTTTTTACTGAGAACCAGTTACCGTAGTTACATAAATCTATTGTCGGAGCTTTACCCGAGGTGCTAATTTTAACATCCAGGCCAGTGTTTGGGGGCGTGGAGAATGGTCTAGACTAAGGCTTAGTCTCTGAATATATATAATTTTGATAGTAACAAACAAGCCCATTTATATTGAAAAGGAGCCCTAGGGAGACCAAAGATTCAGAACCTGAGGAAATCTAGACTTGCTTCATTTAGGGCTTTAGCACTGCAGAGAGGGCTTTGCAGTAGGGAAAATAATGTGGTTCCGGGACTGTGAGACAGACTAAGAATGGTCCTTCGATAAGCTCACTGCCGGCTCCACTGGTGTTGATTCCAAAATGTATCGTTATATTAGAACACAATCTTTTCACAATCTTGGTTCAGTCTTTCATGGCTGAGAGGAATACAGTCTCACAGTCCCCGAACCACATTATTTTCTCTACTGCTTTTTTTTTCTGCAAAACAGGTTCATTTCAGAGACTAGATATTAGTCTATAGTAGTAGTAGCAGCAGCAGCAGCAGTAGTAGTAGTAGTAGTAGTAGTCGTAGTCGTAGTCGTAGTCGTAGTCGTAGTAGTAATAATAATAATAGGCCACTTGTATTGCGCATTACTCCATGCTTGATGCATGCTCGAAGCGCACAGTAAAATAAAAAGTGTTCAGAGCTGTTGAAAGAGATAGGTCTTGAGTTGACGTCTGAAAGACATTAGATTTAGAGATCTTCTGATTGATTCTGGGAGGCTGTTCCACGCGGATGTCACTGCATATGAGAAGGAACGCTGGCCATATCTCACAGTCTTGATGTTGGGAATGCGACACAGAAGCTTGGACTCAGAGCGTAGGGATCGAGTGGGAGAGTAGATAGGCAGGAGGTCCTGTAGGTAGCCTGGAGTGTCGCCGGACAGACACCGGTGGGCTAAGCAGAGGATCTTGAAAGTAACCCTGTGCTGCACTGGAAGCCAGTGTAGATCCTTCAGGGTTGGAGTGATATGGTCTTGTTTTCGGGCGAGTGACTTCTGTACACGCTGGAGACGATTTATCTGCACAGCAGAGGCTCCAACAAGGAGACTGTTACAGAAGTCGATCCTTGTCATGACTAAGGACAGTATGAGAATGATGGCTGATTCTTTGGTCAAATATTTCCGGATGTTGCTGATGTTCCTCAACTGAAGAAAACACATCTTGGTTATTTGGCTGATGTGACTGTCTGTGGAGAGGTCCGAGTCCAAGATTACACCCAGGTCCTTGACAATCTCTGACACTGGTACCTCAGTATCTCCAATAACCAAGGTAGTGAGTCCGGACTCTAAACGCCTTGACTTTGGTCCAACCACAACACACTCCGTTTTTTCAGCATTCAACTTGAGCTTGTTGGTCGACATCCATTTCTGTATGTCATGACAGCAGTTTGTCATAGATTGAGCAGCCCACCGTGCTTCAGATTGATTAGGCTTGAAGAGTGATGCCAGCTGAGTGTCATCTGCGTATAGATGCCTGTTGATCTCAAGTACCTTAATGATTGAACCAAGTGCCTTGGTGTACAGTGTGAATAAAACTGGACCCAAAACCGACCCCTGTGGCACACCTCTTGAGAGATTCACTGGAGCTGAATGGACACCATCGATATACACCGAATGATACCGATTCTACAGATAGGATTTGAACCAGGACCATACAGTACCATTGAGGAAGAAGTCATCCTTGAGGCGACTGAGTAGCATCTGGTGGTCTATGGTATCAACTCTAACAGCACCAGGAGGCCCACATTACCACTGTCAATACCACGTCTAAGGTCGTTGAGGACTTTCAATAGGGCTGTCTCCGTACTGTGTTTAGGACGGTATGCCGATTGGAAAGGCTCGTACAAATTCTGATGCTCAAGATGTTCTGCCAATCGCTTTCCGACAGCCTTGGAGATAAACGACAGGTTTGAGACTGGCCTGTAGCTCTGTGACTCATCCTTGTCCAGAGTGGTTTTATTCAGTAATGGTTTCACTATCGCCTTCTTGATGCTGTGTGGAACTACTCCTGACCTGAGACTTGAATTGACGGTGTGGAGAATTACTGGTATGAGAATATCAATGTTACTCACTACAATCTTGGTCGGTATAGGATCCAGAGCACAGGAAGTCGGTTTGGATTTCTTAATAAGAGCTAACAACTCCTTGGTTGTAAATGGAGCAAACTCTGTGAGACAGTCAGATTCAAAGGAAAAATGGGTTTCTTTATACATACTAGAGGGACTCTCATCGTGTGGAAATGTCTGATGAATTTTCACAATCTTCTCAATGAAAAAGTCTGAAAACTGTTGGGCGATATACTCAGAGTCACCGATGTTAGGCAAAGTGGAGGTATTATTCCTGCCCATTAGTGTAAACATGAGCTTATACAAAGCATTTGGGTTGGACCTGCTATCTCTGATCTTTGAGTTCATGAATTCGGTTTTGGAGCGCCTAATAGCTATTGATACCTTGTTCTGTAGAACACAGTACATCTGCCTATATACCTCAAGCCTTGTCTTACGCCTGAGCCGTTCTGCAGCTCTCCTCTCAGCTTTGGCGTCACTGATCGCTGGGGTGAATATCCATGCAGTCTCTGGTCTATAAGGGATCTTCCTAACTTTCTCGGGGGCATGCTTGTCAAGGAGCTCCAGAAGGAATGTGTTGTACAGATCAACTATGTCTGCACATTCAGTTGGTGTTTCACTGAGTAACCTTGACTTCTCGAGATCTGATCTGAATGATTCCTGATATATCTTCGAGATGTTTCTACAGCGTATTGACTTGGTCGGATGGAGTGGTCTGGTAGTATCAAGCCCAATAGTGAGGAGGTGATGATCCGATACCTGAAGATCTGTGACTCTTACATCAGTGGTGCAGGAGTCTCCATCTCTGGACAGAACCCAGTCCACGATATGGCCACTCTTGTGTGTTGGTTCAGACACTAACTGTTTACAATTGTGAGAGTCAAGTAATTTTAACATCTGAGCTGTTTGAAGATTATCCTTCTTGTCAAAGTGGATATTAAAATCTCCAATAATTACAAGTCTTGATTTTTTGCAGACGACAGAGTCCAAAATCTTGGCAAATTCATCATGAAACATGGAAAATGTGAAGGAATTTTTCTTAGAAGGTGGCGGGCGATACAATGCCAATATATTCGTGCATGTCTTTCCATGTGTTATTTGGAATTCCAGTGATTCAAAGGATATACTACCAATGGTGATGACTTGCTTGAAGGTGATCTGTAGATACTGCCTGTAGATGACAGCGATCCCTCCGCCACGGCCAGGCCGTGAGTGATGGTGCAGGTTATATCCAGGGGGAGTCAAATCTGTTATAATTGCTTCATCGCCTTGTGCCTCAGCCATGACTCAGTCAGTAACATTATGTCCATGTTTCTGTCTACAATTGTATCAATGATATCTCCACACTTGTTGCGGGATGACTGCACATTCCAGAGACACATAGTCAGTTTAGGTGATAGTTTGGGGGGTTGAAGGTAAACAAGATTGCTGTAGTTGATTGATGATGTCTAGTAGTAGTAGAGATAACACATACTGACAAAACCAGAAAATAAAATCAACAACATTAAGCAAACCACTATTTATAGTCACACCAGACCGCTGCAAAACAACACCTAACCTCTAACTGACTACACCATGCCTCAAAAAGAGCACACAGAAGCACACTAACACACATCTAAGCACATGCACTATCTACCTAACAACACTAGACCTGTACTGAACCCCCTGCTCTCACCCCATCCCCCAACTGCGTCACCTGCAATATCTTCTACCACACAGCATACCAGTCTAAGCACAAGGCCAGTTCGCCCTGAACCTAACACTAGTGACCACGTCATCTGGTTACGTCGACTTTGTTCCTCGGCGTTGGTTAGCAATGTGATGCAAGCAAAAAGTCGGTGGCACGGAAGTCTGCAGTCTTAGACTAACGCTTACTCCCTGAATATATATCATTTTGATAGCAACAAATAAACCCATTTAAATTGAAAAGGCGCTCCAGGGAGATTGAGGACCTGAAAAATCTAGACATGCCTCATTTAAGGCTTTAGCATTGCGTTGAGGGCAAAGCAGTAGGGACAACGATGTGGTTCAGGAACTGTGAGACAGACTAGCTGTGGACCATCAATCATAGGTTTCTATATGTCAGATAAGGACATCAAGCTAATATTGGCTGGGAAAAGCTCACCATATCTCACACCCAGCGACCGATTCCAACAGCCTTCACGCGATTCTGCAGCATGTTTTTAGTTCTCAGTGTCAACCGCAACTAACGCGTTTTCACGAAAGTTATTACCATATTTAAGCATTGACCTTTCATGAATTAAACATTCATGAAAGCAAATTTAGCCCTCGCGTTTAGTTCGGTACGGTGATGATTAAAAGCGAGCCTCGGCTTTGAGCGATGACGTTAAAAAACTAAACTTTCTGTCAAGTGAAGGAAAACGTTCACCCAAAAATCAATTTACGTGTCTCCTGTGTATCAACAACCACTGCACAGTGAAGTAAGGAGTCGCTTTGGCAATCATGTCTGTCTAAAAACATTTGTTTCAAACTGCGAGGAGTTCGACTTAGGGAACTCGTCGCCGGATGAATTTTCCATTTGGCTCCGAAACAGGCGCCAGTTTTCGCTAAGTCGGAAACAGACGAAAATTACCGACTGTCGGGAATTCGGGATGTTTTGATCTCTTCTGAGGGGGGAAGGTCACTCAGTACAAACAAGATCGGTATCGTGCCCACATGTTCGAATACTCAACACAACAACTGGAACAAAATGTCAGACTGGTTCGTTCCTCTATCAAGCGCCTGCGCTGCTGCAATTGCCAAGCAATCAGCCTGTCTAATTTCTGTCGCCGAGGGCCTGGACCATTGTTCGCTGGGTAAATTTAGTCCGTTCTCCACGACCTCAACGCAGCCCAGCTTTTCCCAGGTGTGTGCTTCCAGTCATCTTATAGTCTACCCTCAGAACAATACACGATTGAACGTGTTCACACTGTGTAACGAATATGACCCGACGAAGCAGACGTAAGGTTGCAAGCTTAAAAATATCTCTTCTTCGGGGTTTCCATAAACTATTCGATCGTCCAAACCCGTTTATGTTTGGGAGAAAAAGACTCAGAGACAGCAACCTGAGTAGAATTGTTCTAATCCGAAAATTGCAAGGCTTTTAACGTTTTGCCACCCACGTGAATACAATGGATGGGTTTCGCTTGTGAGAAAGACTTTGTGGTGTTTTAGATAAATATTGAAACGCATGCGATGAAAGATGAGTTTCCTGAAACTCTGCTAATTGCAGCTACATTGCACATGTCAAGATTTTTTTCTGCAGTCAGATGTTTGAGGAAAAGGGGGAAAAACAACTGTGTTACGAAGCGGAGCATAAGTCTGCCACAGCGGTGACATAATTATGCGCCTTCAGTAAGTCAAAGGCTTCAGCTACTTCAAATGATCACTGTTGTCGTTTGTGTTACGTCCACTACCACGACTTACACTTCTTCATCTGCGGAAAGTGCTACGGTCGCAACTACGTCTTCACCGGCAATAACTATCACGACATCTACTACTGCTGTCACCGCCACTCTTTCCACCAATAATACTGGTTCTACTACACTACTGCTTTGGAGCTTTTAGTCGTCCATAATGAATGTGATTGTGTATAGATAAGACAACATCTTTGTCTTCGACGACATTACTACTTCAAAACATCTTCTACAACGATATCTGATAATACTACTACAGATTCTGTCGCTACTACCACATCTGACACTACTACTACTACATGTTTTATTACAAGTGCGCGGTAGTATAGTTGTAGTAGCAGTAGAAGTAGTAGTAGTAGTAGCAGTAGTAGTAGTAGTAGCAGTTGTAGTAGTAGTAGTAGTAGCAGTAGTAGTTGTAGTAGTAGTAGTAGTAGTAGCAGTAGTAGTAGTAGTAGCAGTTGTAGTAGTAGTAGTAGTAGCAACAGCCGTAGTAGCAGTAGTAGTAAGCAGTAGGAGCAGCAGTAGAAATAGCTGAGGCGGCCTTGGCAGTAGCATTAGCAACAGCAATGGCGGTACTGTAGCAACTACAAATGATAGTACTGTTATTTCTTCTTCTTCTACCAACATTACTGCTGCGCTACTCAGGGGAGGATCCAGGACTTTGGAGATTGTGTGTGTGTGTGTGTGTGTGTGTGCGCGCGTGCGCGTGCGTGTGCGTGTGCGTGTGCGTGTGGTGTTTGCACATAAGCCATAAATCATGAAGTCCAAATGTTAGGAAGAAATGCTCCTCAGGGAATTTGTTGTCGGGGCAAAGGTAGATGTGTCACACACATACATACACAGACACACACAAACATACACAGACACACACAAACATACACAGACACACAAACATACACAGACATATACACACAAACATACACAGACACACACAAACATACACAGACACACAAACATACACAGACACATACAAACATACAGACACACACAAACATACACAGACAAATACAAACAAACATTCACAGACACATACAAACATACACAGACACACACAAACATACAAACAGACACATACACACGCACAAACAGACACATACACACAAACATACACAGACAGACACACACAAATATACAAACAGACACATACACACACACAGACACACACACGGATCCGCCCATGCTACTACTACTACTGCTACAACTTCATCGACCAATAGTATTCACTTGCAGATTTAGAACAGAAGCAGTAGTAGTAGTAGTAGTAGTAGTAGTAGTAGTAGCGTCAGTGTTTTACGGTCAGAGGTTTGTGTCCGCTGCAAGTTCAGTTAACTGGACTTTTTATTCGGATCGCAAAATCTGATTTGACATTCACCAGAATCAATGATCATTAAAGTTCACGTGACTCGCTAATGATGCACAATGAAATATTAAAATGTTATAGCGTTTAAGATAACGCTTGCAAACCTATTTCTGAAGAGGTTTAGATGTATTCCAATGCCCGACAGACATCATGTTTACTGCTCTCATATTTTCTAGATATTCAATGAGATTTCATTGCATATGAAAATGTTAATTTGAGACAAAATGTATTCTAAATTGAAATTTCATGACACAATCTTCATCAATTCGTCGCTTCCATAGTGGAACACTATCGTTATTTTTACATTTTAAGCCTCTATTTCAACATTAATTATTTTTTGAGGATGGGAGAGGGTTCTTAAACTTAAACGAATTTGCAGTTTTTTGTGGTCGAATGCTTCAATGAGTAAACTCAATACATATTTAATGCCCATCTACAGAAGGATCCTGGGCCTCGGTTTCCAGCCGGACGTACCAAACAAAAGAGTGACATTTAACTCTTGCAAATCATCAATCTCGGTTAATTCCAAACTTGGCTTGATATATCCATATTAATAAACAGTCTGGTGTCTGTCCACCAATTCGGCAACAACCTAGAAAAATCCCATGGCGATCTCTATTGTACAAATCTTTGTCATTCTACAGACTCATCTTGGATGCGATCCAACGATTCTCCTATTGCCTATATTTTTCTTTCTTTCATAGTGGCACGGCCACCATGCGCCGACGACTCCTGGGATTGCAAAACGCCATTACTGGAAAATTATTGGAAAATCCATAGTCTGTCGCCGTTCCCCGCTTCGCCAGGCTCTCTCGTCGTGCAGACGAGACCCACGTGACGTCACTGTCGTCTGCTTGTGAAATCGCTGCCGGATTTCAGCGTCGAGGTCAAATATTTGTTTTTCGTCCAGCGGCGGGGGGCCTAGATCTCGCGGCCCGAATGACCACTCTCGATAGACATCGTCTCGCGCCTGCCGGACACGTGAAAGGATGCGGCTCTTGAGTGGGGTGATGGATGTGTAATGCGTTTTATTGCACTGAGAATGCGCGGATGAGTTCAACGTTAAAACCAACGTCATTCCGCGGCTTTTTCACTGTATTTTTTAACGCTGAGTAATGTCAATATGAGTTATTGAGCCCGACTTGAGTAATATTTTCACGAGCGAGATAAGAGAGCTTTGAAAGATTGTCACAAAAACAGAATATATAAATTGATGTAGTTTCTTTGGAGCGACCATGTTTTCGCCGAAGGTGTCATTGTCGTCACGGGTACGGGTACCCGAGGTACGTATCTGTGTACAGACATGTACCCTAGCTAAAATCAGAATAAAACTTATCCTAGGAGCCCATTTCTTGATCTGAAATGTCATACCATTGTATGAGACGCATTATATAAGAAATGAGCTTACACAAGGACGAATATTTCACGATGCATATAATCGCTCCTGTACAGCCCCGTTCAGGGTATTTTAATTTTGTTTGAGGTACGTTTCTGTATCCAAAGACATA